CTCTCTGTTTCCGTCTCTGTCTCTCCGTTGGCCACCCTCTTTCTCTCTTCAGCCGACTGTCCGGCCTGTGTGCCCGCGTATACATCGATCTCCGCTTCTCTATTTCTATTCCCATTTCTATTTCTATCTCCGCTTCCATCTGCGCGTCCCGTCCTCCTCTCTAGGCCGGCCGTAGATGTTCGGCGTTAGCCGCGGCGAGATCCGTCGGGATCCGGAGCGAACTGAAAATTCGCGGAAACGCCGATGCCACGGGTCGCCCTCGGGACCGTGACTCCGTCGACGTAGCCGTCCTCTTTTGATTGTACCCTCCGTCCTTCTCCGCGCAAAATCGAACGGAAATGAGGGTGGAAGTGGAAGTGGAAATGAAAATTGGAAATGGAAATCGGGGAACGTCGTCGTGCACGCCGCCGGATGCGCTCGCGAGCCGCGCGCTCCGACGGGAATTTCGTTGCGCAGCGGACGGACGGCACGTTTTTGAGGTAGTCCGCGGCGCCTCGTTTCGCGTGGTTGGCAAACATGATCTTGTTACGTAAGCCGAGGGGATTTTTCCGAATGCGGTTCGGCTCGGTTCCATTTGATTCATGAGAACGCGTCCGAGAAGCACGGGCAATTATCGAAAGAAATGAACCGGTTCGCGTTGGTTCGCGCCCACGGGGATCGATAGCGATCGCCGATCGAAGGGACCGGCAGGACGGCGCTCGCGATAACGGCGAGATAATTGTTTATTTGTTTATTTATTTGTTGAATAATATTTTGATACCTGGCGAAAGATAATGAAGATAAACATGGAATATCGGAGCAGCAATGACCTTAACACGTTGAATGCCGCAGGATTTCATAGAAATACGGGAGAATTTAATATTAAGTCATTCGATTGCATTATTATCATTGCATGTTCGTCCAGCTGAATGTCACCGTGTTAGGTAGCATTATTTGTAATATAGAAATATTTTGTATAATCGTCGTTTAATTGAATGAATAGTAATTCGATTTGGTTGGTGACCCCCATGGCGTTCAACTTGTTAACGAAATTACCGAAACTAAGAAAAGGAGTAGCGCAAAGTACGGCACAAGCGAAATCAAGGGACGTTATTAAAACCGTAACAATGACACGTGAAACCAAGGTACTCGATACGTATAGAGGTTATAGAACAGATCGTCCTCAGACGGAAATAGAAGTCTAGGAAAGATTAGGATTATCAGCGATTCGATCGGCGTAATTACATAGTCCAACGATATTGTTTTTGTCGGCGAGCGCAACCCCTGGAATCAGAGATTATTGCGCGTCCCATTGAATGTCGCTTCCCTCTGGCCGCGATGTAAACACTCGCGTCTGTCCGTAAACACAAATAATATTCGCCTCGAACGTTGGAACGCGTCGAGGAGAAAAAAATTCGATTCGAAAGTACGTTTGCTCGAACGGTTTCCCGTTCCGTCGATCGGCTCGCGTTTTCGCGAACTTTGTCCGCCCCGGTGTTTCCTTATCGTTCCGCGATCGAAAACCCGATTAACCCGATCGTCTTTGACGCGAACGGGTTGTCGCGGGCCGAGGGGACGAGAAGAGAATGGAAGGGGACGATTAAGAGCGTGCCCGTTCGCGAGAAAACGGCAGCCGCGGTGACCGCGCAGCGGCGCGCGTTCGCCCCGTTACACGGCAAATACCTAATTAGAGCGTTTCGTTTTTGTTGGGTTTCAGCTAACAAAGTGACCGGGACTGTGAAATGGTTCAACGTGAAGAGTGGATATGGATTCATCAACAGGTTAGTAACCGTAGCCGCTTCCGTTACCGCGTCGCTCCCGTTTGCCCGACTTTTGCGCAGGATGCTCGGGCATCGTTGGGAATCGGGATCCTTTAACTGCGGACATTACCTGTTTCAGTCTCGTCTCATTACTTTCTCCGTAAACGACCGATCGAGCCTGGGATAATTTGCAAGTCGTTGGACTGCGAACGAACGGTTCTCCGCGGGTTTCGACTCGGTTCTCACGCGGATCGTTGCCGCCCAACGGTTCCTTCGTTTCCTTATTACTCCGATTTTCGATTCTCCTAGCTAGACAGCTATTTCTAGACGACTCTCGATCTATGCGTCTGGCTGCTCGCCAGATTTTCGTTCTATGACTCGCTCGCTCGCTTCGAGAACCTGTCGAATCATGACTCGATTTTATCCCTCGCTCGCGTGAGGTTGATAAGAAATTCACCGAGCATCGCGGTTACATCTTGTACCGAGAAATATAGGTACGCCACCATTTACTCGCGCCGTTGATCGCACGCTCTTGGCGAGTCACACGGAATCTTTGAACAGGTGGCAGAGCAAAGCATGGCGTCCGGATACCCATTGGATCGCCTCGACGCTTTCGAGCGGTCCATGTTCCGAGATGCACAGAACCTTGTTGAAAATTAGAAAACGCGAGACTTCGCGACGAGAGCCGATTTACTTATACGAGAAACGATCGTTCCCGGTTTTAATCGATTCCTCCGTCTGTTTCAGGAACGACACCAAGGACGACGTGTTCGTCCATCAAGTAAGTATATTTTATTCCTCTCTGTTCTCCAACGTGTGGATCAAGAAACTGAATGTTAACCGTGTCCGTTGAATCTTCTCGCAGTCGGCTATCGTGAGGAACAACCCAAGGAAGGCCGTCCGTAGCGTCGGTGACGGAGAAGTGGTCGAATTCGACGTGGTTATAGGCGAGAAGGGTCACGAAGCGGCCAACGTTACCGGTCCTTCCGGGGAAGCGGTAAAGGGTTCACCTTACGCTGCCGACAAGCGACGCGGATTCCGCGGAGTTCATTGGTACATCAGTCAGAAACGTGGGAACACTCGAACTCAACGTAGACCGCGTGAAGGCCAGGAAGGCTACGAAGCCGGTTCGTACAGCTTCGTTATCATCACGGCGAGAGGAGAGTGTACCGTAGGCTTGGTCTGAACCGAACGTTCGATTGTGCGCAGGCGAGGGCAAATCTGCGGACGAGGCCAACGTTGGCGAAGGTGGTGGACAACAGCGGCGTTACAGAGTCCGACGGCAATACGACGGCTACTATCGTGGGTCGCGGCGGTCTGGACCATCGGCGCAACAGCAGACCGATAACACCGGAGAACAAGGAGAACAGGGTGGCGAGGGTGGTGCAGGTGGCGAGGGTGTGCCGCGCGGCGGCGGTGCTCGCGGCCGAGGCGGACCGTCTCGCCGTTATTATCGTCGCAATTTCCGCGGAGGAAGAGGCGGCGGACCACCTCGTCGACCTCGCAGCCAGGACGGACAAACAAAAGTCTGTATTCCTCTCCTCGTCCTTTCTGTTCGTATACCAGCGTGCTCCACTCCGTCTGTTCCGTCTGTCTTCGGTCTCTTCGGTTCTATCGCACGTTTTCTGCTTTCTCTTCCACTTCCACTCCCTTTCCCACTACCTCTGTCTACTTTTGCGGACACCTCTACGAACAACTTTAAGGTCACCTCTGCGATTACCTCTACGACGACCTCTGACTACTTCTGCAACTACCACCACCTGTTCTCCTGTCTGTCTTCCTCTTCTCAAGTTTTCTGCTACTGTCGTGTGTCTGTTGGTGTCACGTGAATCGTGAAATACCTTCGCTCAGATTACGGACGATGAAGAGGCTCGGCAAATGTCTCTTATGGGACGCGATAAACGGAGGATAATCGCAGTCGGCCAATCAGCCAGGGAACGGTCGACAGAGTTTGTCAACGATATGCTACGTTCGACGAATCCAACCCTGTGTATAGCTCTATCCGTGATCTCTTTGTCCAAATAGCAACGTTTGATCGTTTTTCTCATTTTCTTCTTTCGCGAAGGGACGGGGGGAGAGGTTAACGAGAGTCGTATTCGCGTCGTTCCTTCTTTCGATCCTCTTCGCTTGTTCTCAAACACCAAACACTCCTATGAAACAGCCGTCCGTTCGCCAACAGATCGAAATCGATCCGTCGACGAACGCTCGTCGTAAATTGGCGTAACGCTTGGCACACACACTATTGCACGTCTCTTTTTGTGCTCTTTTCAGTCGGAGCAGAAGTCGGATGCACCTAAAGATAAGGATGCACCTGCCGCTGCCCCTGCTCCACAGGTAACGTGGCTTTATTTTTCTTTCTCCTTTCAGCTCGTTTCTCCCTTGGTCTGTCTATTCACCTATTTAACTATCTATCTGTCTAACTATCTATCTATATACCTACATGAATTTCTGTCCATCCAACCATCCATCCATCCATACATCTCGGTTCATACCCCGGGCTCTTTTCTATCTAACTGTTTCATGGCATGTCGTTCGTTCGATTCACATTTCCCGATCAGTTCATGTAGTACCCTCTAACACCTTCTGTTTCATCCATTGGAACGCGCATGGTTTTCGTTTCTCGAGACACTGGTAACCAGTCGTATAAAAGGCTGCAGAAACGACCATTTTGTTCGTAACAAACGTGTGCGACATTTATGTATCCTCGATTCGATCGTGCCGGGAGATCGATCTGTGCCGATCTTTAATCGCACCTGTTCCCTTTTGCAGGAGAGTCAGCCGGTCCAGAACACCACTACCGAAAGCACCGCTTAATCAACAGCAAATGGTACCAACCACCACGACATAACCACTCCTTTTAATAAGTAACACCAACACCAGTTATACACCGAAGCAACAGCAAACAGCAGCAGCAAACGGCAAACAGCAACGTAACAAAAGAATCGAACAAAAAATGTAAAACAAAAAAAAAAGAAAG